GAGAACCCACTTATTGGCTTATATTTCCAAAAGAAAAGCAAACAACCCCCCCCCCAAGTGAATGCCATTCTGGAAACAATGAAGTCACAGAGGGGACCACATCACCCTGCTTTCTCTACACCTCTGTGCACTAACCCATTTTTCATAGGAAAATGTACTTTTTAATCTGGAGTTCAGTCATGCCTTGACTTCAACAACCTAGATTGATTCTGTTGCCCACAAGGGTGGGTGTGGTTACTCAATACACATCTGCAAACCTTTCTACACCTTTTCTTCCTTGCACATCTCCTGGGTGAATGAAAAAGGAAGTGGTGATTGTGATCTTGGTATTCACCCACCCACCAGGTCACTAGGCAGGTGTGGATACACACCCTCCATTGTAAGGACAGTTTTAATCTGTTTTCAAAGGGGCACACTGTGTAGTAATGCATAATCAATCTACAATGAACTTTTTGGGGGTTGGTTTTTTTGCACTGAAACCCGCTGAAATGCTTTTTAGGAGCAAAAAAAAATATATGCAACAGATTTTCCTATGCAGGAAAAAAATTACCCACTCTTCATCTGCAATAAAATGTTGTGCATTAGCAGCCTAAATTGCTCACTCCAATCTGGAGTCATTTGGAAGGTGGATTCTGAACAGAATGAGGTGTGGTGAGGGAAGGTTGTTGCAACTGGCGAGTTTCCTGGGAAAAAGTGGGAAATCTTGCATCGCTTATTCTTGAGTTGAGTTCTTGAGCACACCTAATACAGTGGTACCTCAGGTTACAGACGCTTCAGGTTACAGACTCCGCTAACCCAGAAATAGTACCTTGGGTTAAGAACTTAGCTTCAGCATGAGAACAGAAATCGCACGATGGCGGCGCAGCGGCAGCGGGAGGCCCCATTAGCTAAAGTGGTGCTTCGGGTTAAGAACAGTTTCAGGTTAAGAACGGACCTCCAGAACGAATTAAGTTCTTAACCCAAGGTACCACTGTACAGGGATTGCAATATTGTCGAAATCATGCACAGGGTTATAGAAACAGAAAACTGAAATTGTGGTTCCTGATTTGAGCTGTTTCAATGCATCTTGATTTATAACTTATTTGCAGTTCTGACTTAAGACGTAATGATAATCAGCAGTTTGTTTAAAACAGGAAGCTGATGTTTCTAATCTGCTCCTAGCAGTCTCACTGGATAGAAGGAGGAAGCACTCATGCCCTATAAGCTCGATCAGGCTCACTGCTGTAATGTTAAACTATGTTACATACAAGCTGGTCCACAATATATGTTCTGTTTCATATTACGCTGCTCAGGTGGTGAAGCAACTGGAGCTGTTTTATTATAAACGATTCTGTACATGGATTCAATTAGAGTTGCCATACGTCCGGAAAATACCGGACCTGTCCTTTATTGTGGGGCCTGAATGCCCATCTGGGGGGATTTTTAGAATTTAAAGCAAACTTTTTGTGTCCAGATTTTTACCTCTTGGAATATGGCAACCCTAGATGCAATGGACCTGTAATTATGCATCTAAATACACTCCAACATTTCTTAGATGAAAATAGGGAATTCCTATTCCATAATAACAACAATAATAATTTTATTATTTATACACCACCCATCTGACTGAGTTATCCCAGCCACCCTAGGCAGCTTCCAACATATATAAAAACGTAATAAAACATTAAACATTAAAAAACTTCCCTATACAGGGCTGCCTTCACATGTCTTCTAAAGGTTCTATAGTTACTTGTCTCCTTGGCCCAAGAGAGAGTGGCTGGGGCCTGGTGGACGGAGTATAAATAAAATAAAATAAAATAAAAACAATGGAATGGGATGTCCCTATTATCATTGGAGTAATGTTGGTAGGCATGTAAGTGCCCTTGCTTTGAAAGGTAGAGATGCATGTATGCTACAACTAGTTCTGATTTGAATATATGGGAAACAAAAATGCTTAACTTTGGCTGGATCATGTCTATTTATCTAGATTCTAGAATGTAACATTATTAATAAATTTTGGAAAAAAGTATTTTTTGGTCTACATCCTTTAATAATTTAATATTTAATATGATAGTTTATTGTTATGCACACACACTGTGTCTCTTACATAGTACCTGCCCTACTGTCCTTTCTAAATTAAAAGCCTGCTTTTGGAAACATCTGAGAATATAAATGTCAGAGTTGCAGCCCAGTATTACATACTGTTTTTAGGCCTCCCCTGGTGAAAATAGCCAATTCTCAATTTATTTTCATATTGTCAACGGACAAAGAGGCAGAGGAAAAGTAATTATGAAAACCATATAATTCTATTCTAAACAAATATTGGCTGCTGTCCTACCTTCAGGTGTTTAAATACTACTGTTGCACAATTCCCATCCCAATTTCTAAGCAGTGTGAGATTCCAGGGGTTTAAGGCATGTTTACCCATGTTGCCTTTTGGGAATGAGACACAGCGGAGACTGTGGTGTCTTTATTATATGTGGTTGACCTAAACATATATACAGCTTAGGGTCTTGTTTCTTCCACAGACACAGCTTAGGATTCGAAAAGACACCAGCTATTGTATACTGACACTCTCTCCACCTTGCTGACTTTAACAGCCTGGAACCTCCCCCCCCCCCCCCCAGGTCACATCCAGCCAACTTTACTTCAAACTCTGCCTTTGTTTTCTTACTAACTATCTTAGAGTTGGAGGACGGGTCCCACCTACTAACCTCTGGCATAGAGCTCCTCTCCATAGCTATCTTAATGGCTCATTTTTCAGGCAATTACCTCATCAGGAGACTGGCCTGATATTTTAACCCCTGCAGGATCTAGGGGTTCAGAAGGCTTGATTAAATTCCAACACCTACTAGGCCCAGGAATTCAGGGTCTCTAGCACCCACAAACTCACAACACTAATTAAGTCAATAGGAGCCAATGTTACTAGTTACAGGATTTGTTGCTCTGTGGGAAAAAGTTGACAATGAAAACTATTTGGAAACCTTATACATTTACAGGTACTTATTGTGAACAGTTAATATCTTTCTTTGTGAATGTTTGGAAGTGGGAGCATGAGCATATGGAATTATACCAGAGTTTTGCTTCCTGAGGCACTAAGGTATGTTAAGGACTACAAACTTACTTTGTCTAAAAATGCAAACTAAGGTTCCCAGGATTCTGTAAAAGTTAACATAGTTATCCACTGCACATGGCACAGTAGTTTTCTAAGCCTTCTGCATTTGCTCACTATAGTGGTACCTCGGGTTACAGACGCTTCAGGTTACAAACGCTTCAGGTTACAGACTCCTCTAACCCAGAAATAGTACCTCAGGTTAAGAACTTCAGGATGAGAACAGAAATCTCACGGCGGCAGCGGGAGGCCCCATTAGATAAAGTGGTACCTCAGGTTAAGAACAGTTTCAGGTTAAGAACGGGCCTCCAGAATGAATTAAGTTCTTAACCCAAGGTACCACTGTACTGCAGATGTATTTATAAACACCTATTGGATATTTGTCTTGAAGGGCAAACTGGAGAAACGGTGAAGCAAGGAGCAGGTTGGCTGACAAGTAATGAATGGAACTAAAGTATTACTGCTGGAGACAGCAGCTGTCTGGTTTCTAAGAGACGGAGTGCATTAGCTGCATGGAGGGCATGATTTCTGTGAACCTAATTTAGTTTTCTTTTATGAGAGGATGAGACCTGAGGCTGTAGAAATGTGGAGGGGTTCAAGAGGAAATGAAATTTCAGGTCTGACAGGTTATGTGTGTGCGAGAATGATGAGTCAAAGAGTTTGTTGTGTCTGGAGATGAAAGATAACCTGATGATATGTACAGAGCAGAAAGTACTATTTAACTAAGGATGCTGTGTTGCCCATCATGGAGAAAGGATGCCCTACTTGGACAACTCAGAAAGCCGCATTGCTGTATTGCTATCCCACAAGGACCATGCTGCTAGAAGACATTTATTATAATTTTGATGTAGTGTTTTCTTTTTAACCTATTCTATTACTTAAAAAAACCTCTCTTTGCGCCATAGCATGCACTCTCTGCATCGCTACAAATCATGCAAAATCTATTAATAAACCCACTTTTGCTTCTCTATTGCACAGCACTGTACACAGATTCCTTTGCTTAACTTCTCAGTAAACATATTGTCCCTCTCTGACCCGAGACAGGTCTGAACCCCGTCTCCATTAATGTAACAGGGATTGCAGTGCAAAAGGAATGTTAGAAACCAGGACATAAGTGCTAGCATTATAACCAGTAAAATGAATGCAACAAGCCCCATGTCTGAATGCAGCCATAGAAACATGCACTTGGAAAGGACTGCCAAGGGAATCTAGTTCAGAGCCCAACAAACACAGGAAACTCTCTACGATCACAAAACAAAACAGATTCTCACTTAGAAGTCAAACAAAAACATTGCAACTTATTATCAGAGAACCATAGAGTTGGAAGGGACTCTGGGAATAATTTAGTCCAACTACCTGCAATGTGCGACGCGGGTGGCGTTGTGGGTTAAAGCCTCAGCGCCTAGGACTTGCCGATTGAAAGGTCGGCGGTTCGAATCCCCGCGGCGGGGTGCGCTCCTGTCGCTCGGTCCCAGCGCCTGTCAACCTAGCAGTTCGAAAGCACCCCCGGGTGTAAGTAGATAAATAGGGACCGCTTACCAGAGGGAAGGTAAACGGTGTTCCGTGTGCTGCACTGGCTCGCCAGATGCAGCTTGTCACGCTGGCCACGTGACCCGGAAGTGTCTGCGGACAGCGCTGGCTCCCGGCCTCTAGAGTGAGATGAGCGCACAACCCTAGAGTCTGTCAAGACTGGCCCGTACGGGCAGGGGTACCTTTACCTTTTTACCCGCAATGTAGGAATATGCAGCTGTTCATTATGGGGATCAAACCTGCAACCTTGTCAGTATCATGCTCTAGCATAACCGTGTCATTTTCTGGCTATTATTATTACAACACATAACAAGCTTACAAGATGTCATTATGTAACGTTTACTGTTGGTTTAAATAGATGTTACATAAAACATTTATGGTGTTATTCTTGCTTTACGGAGATAGCTAGGTATTTGCTCTAGCTCCTTTCCCTCTACAATAACTTGAGACAAGTGCCCTTCCTAACTTCACCCTCTATTAATTAGCAGGCTTGGTAAGAGAGTTTTACCTGAAATGTTCCCTCTGGGTGAGTGTTAGGTTCCTTTCTAGCTTTACAAAGAGCCTCATCAGAAGTCTTCACTCAGGACAGCTTCCCTCTGCAGTCACTATGACCTAGAGATAGAAGAGAAATTGGATTCCATTCATATTTAAAGACAAACCAGCTTGATTCAATAGGTGAACCAGAACACAGGCATCATTTGAAATTCCCACTTTTCTCAATTTTGCAGCGCAGTTTTGCAGTCAAGCAAGCTAAGGAATTTATTCAAAAGTGCTTATACTAGGCTAAGCATAAAAATGCATGTATTAGTGAAAATAGCACACAAAAACCATATTTTTGGTAATATTGCTGGTTTAAAAAAAGCCTATTAGGCAAAAGTTGCATACAAAAATGTGCGTACAGTATTGTATTAGGAGAAATGCACACTAAACTGCTGATGATTTTCATTTTAAAACTGCAAACTGATGTGGAAGGATACAGAACTGAATTTAAGATTATAAATATTATAAATACTGAAAGAAACCAAAATGGACAGATTTGCCCATCCTTACCCTGTCCTCAGCTCTCCCAAAGCCTGATGCTCAAATCACTCACTATGCTCTTGGAAGCCTTCTTAGCTCTCACCTCAAGTAATTTCAGATTCCAGGTGGGCTTCCCCAGCTGCTACTACTTCAATCTCTCTCTTTTTTTGGCTTTCAGAGTTTGTTCTTGAGTCCTGGGCTGAAGCTGTTTACAGTACACCAAAGACTGCCCAACTGACTTACTTCAAACAGTGCCGGACCTGACCTTAAATTCCTTTCAGTCAAGACTATCAAGCCAATCCATTTGTTCCTGTTGGAATTCAAAACTTTCATTGGCCTATAATTACGGACCAATAGATTTGGATGGAATGTCCACCAAATGACCAGCCATCAGCTGTCCACATTTGGATGCTACTGCTCTGTATATATATAAAAATCAAAACACAGCATGTACTCTGCCATCTTCTTAGCAACAGGGATCAACTTTGACAGTTTAACTGTCACTTGGCCCACTGCTGGCTGACCTTGTATATTTCGGCTCTAGTCAATGTAAAATACATGTTTATTCTTCTTACAGTTAACTCTTTACATTCAGATCAGCATTTAAAGTATTAAAACATTCTTACAGTAAAACACTTCCCAGAATATGGTTTTTATACAGAGGAGAAAGCTCTATCTGGAAGAATGGCAGCCTTTGCAATTTGTACTACAAATACCGTTACATCAAATAAGACATCTCCCTGCCAGGAGCCAAAAAACAGGAACCAAAAAACATGGTCAGAACCTGAGAATGTGTAGAAAACACAAAAACGTGGTTTTTAAATTGATAGAGTTCACAATTTTTAAATTGTGAGTTCTTAGGGGTGACACACCAAAAACCAGGTAAAGTTGGTCCAAAGTTGTGTTTCAGTCCACCACCTTGCATCAAAATGGTACCCAGCTTCCATGAAGACCACCAGCCTTATTTTGGAAGCACTAATGCTGCATTTGGCAATGATATTTTGAGAGGCGGCCAAACCTATGCCAAAATATGGGCAAAGTCATGCCTAAACCATGTTTTGGACTGTCATCTTGATTCAAATTACAGGCAGCAGTCCAACATTGACAAAAATTGCCACCCACAATTCAGGAACCCTTGTGCCAAGTTTGGTGATGATATCTCAGGATGTGGCCAAATCCATAGAGCAGTAGTTTTTAACCAGTGTCCCCTCCCTTCTCTGATGCCTTCTTGTGTCTCTGACTCCCAGTGACTTGCACAACTGTTGGTTGCATCAGCCCTGGCTACAAGCTCCTCGGGTGAATGGTGCCTCTGTGGCTGGCTGGGGGGGGGGGTGCTTCCCAGGCCCCGGTGGGGTAGTGTGAGAAGGCACCTCTCTTTGGGGCACGATGTGTATCTCAGAGACCGGGGCATCAGCTGCGGCTGTCCAGAAGAGTCCTCAGGAGAGAAGAGAGGAGAGGAGGTTGAGGGAACACTCCGCAAGGGAGAGTGTTCGAAAAGGGGTGAGAGGCTGCCAGCTCTGCAGGCAAGGGGTGACATAACTCGGCTCCTGAGCCCCACAGGGGTGCCACAGAAAGAATGCAGTTGGTCAAGGGCGCCGTGGACTCAAAAAGGTTGAAAACCTCTGCCATAGAGAACAGACAGACAGACAATCAAACCACTGTTCAGAATATATAGTAGACACACAGCCCCTAAACGTGCACAACAGAGAGTTCAGTTTATCTTCTGGGTTTCTCTGCTTTGAATCCACTCAGCATCTTTCTCTACATATTACCTTTAAAAAGCATTTCATAGCTACCTTCACTGAGCCATCCATTCTTCTTAGGTCTTTTCCATATGTTTCTGCTGAAAGCAGTTTGCCACAGTTGGCTGTTTCTCCCCCATAGAGATATACGTTGCACTTAAATAAACATGATTATACCCTATGCAAAACTACAGTTTTCTCCAAATGGTAAAAATAAAGCAGCCAAAGTTTAAATTAGATTGTGGGTTTCCCAACAATTTAACTTCCAATTGGCTTGTGGTTCTTCTCCTTAGCAAGGAGATTTATGGCCCTTGAACTGGGGTTGGGGGGAATCTTTCTAAGAAGGACTAAAGCACATAGTGGCAGTCAGAACAATGAATTATTTGTGCAGGTAAGCTACTGGAAACATATTTGAAGATCCAATCCTATGCATACTTTTCTATGAGTTAAGTCTGACTAAACACAGTGGGACTTTCTCCTGAGTAAGCATGCATTGGGTTGGGCAATTACAGAGCAATCTTGATGCAGCTTGTAGGATGAAGGGAGCGGTGGGGCTACCACTGCATTCACAACCTTGCCAACTCCTGCTGTTCGGGGTGGAAGGTGGTGGCATGTTTTTCTTGTGGCATAACAGAGGAACTGTAGATGCTTTGGATTCAGGGCAGGCACAGGCAACCTCAGCCCGCCAGATGTTTTGGGACTACAATTCCTATCATCCCTGACCACTAGTCCTGTTAGCTAGGGATCATGGGAGTTGTAGTCCAAAACATCTGGTGGGCCGAGGTTGCCTATGCCTGATCCAGGGGGTCCAGGGCCAGTCAAGATCCACCCTGCCCCCTTTTAGGTGCTTTCTGCCCACGACCACTACCAGGAACCTCTTACTCATGGACCAATGGTCTGACACAATACAAGGCAGCTTCCTATGTTCCTAAACAAGGTAAGCATTGACCCCTCTAGCCCAATATTGTCTATTGAACTCTGGCTGTCAGTGACTCTCCAGAGTCTCAAGCGGGTCTTTCACAACACCTGCTATTTGACCCTTTTAACACGATATGCCAAGGACTGAACCAGGGATCTTCCACATGTGAAAAGCATTGTTCTACTGATAAGCTATGGTTCTTTCCTTGGAAGGATATGCCAGCGCTAAAGGGCAAGCCTTCTTTTTAAATGAAGCAGCAGCAAACACAAGTAAGGCCACCCCTTTGCAAAAGCACTTGCCCTCCCTACCCATCACATGAGGATTACGTTTCACTCCCCTATAGCACTGACAATGAAAACTAGTTGTAATTTTTTTTTAAAAAACCAAAAACTTAAAAAGAAAGATAATAATTTAGAGATCTCCTCGTCACATTACATATTTATGTGTGCCATTAAGATGATGAAGTATGGCTAACCCTTTGCATGCCTGCTGATATTGCTGTCAAAATTGATCCCCCTCAAGCTATTTTTTTTGCTCTGAAGGAAAAAGGGAAACAGATTTATGTATAATGCACTGGTAGTCTTGTCAGGCAGCTGAGACTGATGTTTGCTCAGTCGGGAACTCTGCTTGTCTGCATTTTCATAATGTGCCACTTGCCCCACAGTAATTATTCCTTTCCCCCCAACCCAGCCCCACTATATTCAGAAAAGATCAGCAGCATCAATTCTTGTGGATCATGCCATTCAGCTAGAATGGGGGATGCTGTGACCTGCGGCACTAATTTGGTGTCAGCTGTAGAAGTAGCTAAACAACAGGAACAGGAAATAAGTACCCAAAGCTTGCCAGCTGCCAGCCAAATTCCAACCTGCTTAAATGACTTTCTAGTCCAACTTGCTAAAAACTGTGATCTTGAGTTAAAGATAGCACATTGCAAATAACATAGGGCAAAGGTTGGTTTGAACTGAATGGACCCTTAGTTTTAGTTTACCAAACTTGGAATAGCCACATAAGTCTTGTTTATTTATGGCTTGACAGTACAAAATACTGGGCATCTACTCTAAGGTGCCAAGCACCCTCAATTTTCTAAGCACAAAGAGAGACCAGAAGACCCTTGATAGCAGGTTGCTTGTCTGTTTGGCATGCACAGTATATTTAGGGATATGCTGAAATGAGAGACTGTGGACAAAATAAGGACTTAGCATCTCTCCTTTAAACTGAACAAATGCACTACTGGCAGGCTAGATTCTGGGTTAGGCCCAAAGCCTAACCAGAATTCAGTGTCCACTAAACTTCTAGAAATTAATGTTTGTAGACCAACCTTCGTTTATGTCCCAATGCTTTCTCTACTACGTTAGCATTAGTCATGTTCCATTGATGCAAACTAGAAGTGTTAAGTGTCCAAGTGTTCCATTAATGTTGGTACACCAAAGACATGGCTTGATGCTTCTTCCTGGCATCCAGCCTGTTATGCTTGCTGCGATCCCACGTGTTCTTTGGACAGACCCTGCTCCATCAATGTGGGCTGCTCCATAAGTGTGAATGCGGCATTGTCCCACCAACCCCAACCTATTCTCATCCAGCCCTCCTTTTTACTTATGTGTCCAGATGTCAGGGACAGGGCAGAAGAGGAGGGCACTGGAGAGGGGGGTGATGTCAAGAGGCGGGCAGAGAAGGAGGAGTGGTGGAGACCACCTCCCCATTCTGACCCTTCCAGACAGTGTAGATTTACAACAGTGGTTTGTGGGAGGTCACAGCTGTGCTGTGCCTCTCCCAACCGCGGCTCCTATGCCTGCTCTTGCGAGTGGCAGAGGCGGTGGCGGATGGACCAGCGGCCCCAAAAGGAGCCCTTTTGTGCTGCTGCTCCTTCCTCCTCCTTCACCTTTGCCATTGTCGGCTGTGGAGGAAGAGGAACGAGCAGCCCGAAAGCAGCCCTTGCGGGCTGCTTGTTCTTCCTCCGCCGCTGCCACCACCACCAAGTTTGTGGTGTGGTGAATGGGCTTATACTCAAGACAAAGAGTTTTCCCAGTTTTTTGTGCTAAAATTAGGTGCCTCAGCTTATATTTGCATTGGCTTATACTCGAGTATATACGGTAGACCCTGACATCCATTAATTTATTGGGTTTAGGGGGTTCTTCCATCCTCAACTTGTAACAGTATAGTTCCCTAAATAGAAGTGATTTCAGGGAGTAAGTCCTGTGAAACTTCCAGCACTAGGTATTTTCGTCTGTTTCTTCCTTGGGATGCTTCAATGAATTTAAGCCCTGGGTAGCCCACTTATTAATTGAACCTGAAGCTTCATTTATTAAAAAAAATAAATTAAATTAAAATTTAAAAGATCTCACTGCTTGGCTTTAATGAGCACTTGTGTTGGAAACGAATATGTCCCTCCTGTAAAGTTAAACGGACTGAGTTGGACTGCTCAAAATTAAAATGATTTGAAAAGCTAATCTTCTCAATTCCCAAAGCAAGTCATTAGCTGCTTTCATATCACTTAATTTTGCTAATAGAGCGGAATGTAATGTTCTTCACTGCCAAGAAAGAACACTTAACTTTAGGGGGAAAGCATATTGTTCTCATTAATGAAAGAAGAAAATAAATTAACAAAAAAGTTTATTTTTATGGCAATTAAGTCTTCCGTAGAATCAGCATAAAATCCAGTTTTAATAATTAACCTTATAGCTGGAGCAGAAAACCAAGGGAAGAGGATAGGGCAGAATGGTTGCTTGACCGCATACAAGTAAACCTTCCTTTCAGCTGTGATGCTCTAGGAATTGATGAAGGCAAAGTTGACAGCAGGGATGAGGCATCTCAGTCCCGGGGTGGGGAGCAAATGCAGATGTCTAGGCCTCTTTGTTTGGCCTTCAGATTGTTCTCATGCACACCCTGCTCCACCCCTGAGTCACATCCTTATTGAGTGTTTTTGTCTGGCTGGAGTGTATCCTGGAACTCTGATACAGCCTCTTACTTGTTTGAATGGAGAGGGATGGTTGGATGAGTGTGTGCAGAAGATAACCTACTGTGCAAAGGTACAATGTACATTAATTGCTCTGCAAATTCCGCCCTCTAGCTCTACCCACCACTGCAGAGGCATAGCTAGGAGGGACGGTGGGTGGGACACACTAGGCGCCACACCATGGGGGGACAGCACTTACCATGGGGCCTGCAGCACACCTGAGCCATGGGTCTCTCCTGGGAGTGATGCAGTAGCTCTGGCACCTGCAGGCTCCACACTGCCCAAAATGGCAGTGCAGGGCTTGTGTTTCCCCACCACCTCCCCCTCAGCTGTAGGGCGGCGACAGGTGGACAGCATGCAAGCTCCATGCTGCCCGAAACAGCTGCGTGGGGCTTGCATGCGCCCGCTGCCTCCCTCCCAGCCACGCTACCGCTGAGAGGGAGGCAGTGAGTGGACTCCTTGGAGGCTCGCCCCGTGCCATGGACAGCTCACCCCACCCCTGGGGTCAGGGCATATGTGCTGCCCCAGGCACCCTTGCTGCTAGCTACACCATTGCATCATTGGCATGGGTTTCTCAGATGGGAATGCAGCCCTTGGATCGTAAAAGGTTCCCCCACCCCTGGTTTAGAGAGAGAGGGCTTCCATGAGGCAGGAAGAGACCATTGCCTCAGGTGGGGGTGGATGAGCACCCTCATCCCAGCAGAGTTTCTTTCCACTCACAGCCCTTGCATGTGGGATGAGGAAGCACAAACCCTAGTTGAACCGTTTGACTTTTTCCTCTAATGCAAGTTCAGCCCTGGATGAGACCAAGCAAAATGCTTTCATTCATATTAATAGTGCAGCCAGGTAACTGTGATCTTTTAAAATTGTAATTAGTCCAATATATTTGTAATTGTAACCCTCAAGCACTTATTAACCTCTTTATCATGAACACATGTGGGCAAGGAAGGAAGAAATATATTTTAAAATCTTGCATAACGTAGGAATAGATAAAGGAAAGAATAGGCCTTCTTCCCTCTACTCTCATATTATCAATCTGCTCATTACAAATGATCATGTATGAACAAACACAGAACAGGAAGAGATGTTGCAAGTCCCAGGTGGGCAGATGCAAACAGATATGAGATCATAGTATCGGTTTCCTACTCATGCAACTCCCTAGGTAGCTTTCTACATAGTTATTATGCTCTGGATCTAGTCA